AATAAAAACAATAATTTTAGATATGAATCCATATTATATAGAAAACAAAATTTGATTAAAATTTAAAATCTATTAGTAAATTTCGCTTATATTTTTGAATTGTCTTAAATAATTATAAAATCATTGATTATAAAATTTAAGGCAATTTAGAAGAAATAAGATAAAAAAGAGTTTTTCTTCTAAAATTAGATATTATCATAAGTCGAAAAATAATTGCTACTATAATAATTCTTAGTGATTTTAATGTTTAAAGTTAAAACTAACCTTATCTAAATTTGTCTTAGGAATACATTTACTAAAATAACTAAAAACCTATATATATAATGTTATTATTTGTGTTGATTTACTTGTAAATTGAAACTTATTTTAATAATTAGTTTTTATTAAGTGTTAATCTAAAACAATAATCTATGCATATGTAAATTTATTTAATCATTTTATTTCCAAAGCTTCTAAACATTAATCTTAATCTTAGATTTAAAATAATACTTTTCCTAATTTTTGCATACTGATCATTTGGATCAATCTTTAGATATTTTTCATAAAATATCAACGCTTCTGCATATTAGTTTAGTGTTTGTAAGCACTACCCTAATTGATTAATTGCCATCTATACCTTTGCAATATAATGCCAATTAATATTAAGGATCGATTTCTAAGGCTTTATCTGCCTATATAATTGCTTCCTTATATTATTTAAGCAGTCTTAAACAATCCGCTAAAACATATAATAGACATTCTACCTTTGTAATACAATGATAATTTATTGTTAGGATTGATTTCTAAGGCTTTATCTATCCAAATAATTGCTTCCTTATATTCTTCAAGCATAAATAAACTAATCCCTACAACCTATAAAATTGTAGATCTACCTTTGCCTTTCATTGTGTCTTCATGTTTAGGATCGATATCCAAGGCTTTATCTGCCCATTAAATCGCTTCCTTATATTATTTAAGCAGTCTTAAACAATACGCTAAAACATATAATAGAAATTCTACCTTTCTTTTACAATGCTGATTAATTTTTAGGATTCCAAATTAATGCTTAATCAAAATTTTTGATTGCTTCCAAATAATCATTATCATTCAGCCATAATTCATACCCTAATTTTTAATTTTTGATACCTTTTTGACATATTTCTTAAGATTTTTGGATATCACTATTGGATATTTGACAATAGTTTAATTAAGATATGTTTAAATCTTAATATAAATATTTTAATTAATATTGAAAATTTTGGGAAGATTCTGTAATTTGTGTTTCAATTTTAGCTTCAAAGGATTTGAATAGGATTACTTATTCAAAAAAAGAATTCATTTATTTTGAATTTAAGTTTAGAAATTATTCTTTTGATCTTTGAAATTTTTCTCTGATTCCTCCAATTAATTAATTAAACGATTGATAAACTAAATCTATGATTTATTTTATTCTATTAACAAAATGATCGCATTCTTAATAAGCTTTTTCAATATGTTCCAATAAAATCGGCAATTCATATTAATATTAAGGATGAGAACAATGCATTCCCTCTCTATTGCATTACATACAGTATAATCTGTTTGTTTTGCATGATTTATCAAAGCAAATTAATTTTACATTGTTGTCATGTTCTTGATTTGGACAATTTATGATTAAATCTTGAAACATTAATTTTTATCTAAATTATATCAATTTCTATTAATATACTTCTTCTTTATAATTATATATTATTTTTTTATTTAATAAATATCACTACTCATTCTTCCTATTTATTTTACGTTTCGCCAAGTTTGACCTTTAAAAACATTGCTTTAACATTTAATTCTTCACAAAATAAATTTAAATTGATTGAACAAAGTTTTCGATATTTAGATGCCACACATCACACGCAAATATTTTTTATGACTAAAAAAGGGATGAAAAAGAATTCATACTTGGATTTCGTCCATAAAGTGCTGAATTACTCGAATTTGAGCAAACATGCTATGAAGACTTTATTTGAAAGTACCTTAAATTACTTATAATTTAGACAGGAAACAGTTTTTGTA